TTGTGATTATCTGTTTGGGTTGTGCTTGCCCGATGTGGGAGAGTATGAAAGTTGGTGTAAGCTTAAATTTGAAAGTATGAGATGCGCCAAGAGGGGGGGAATTGGTGTTTTAAAATTAAATCCTAAACAGGAGTTCTATTTTTAAAAATTTTTATTTATTTGAAAAGATGACTTAACTAATTAGAAGCAGAAGCTAGTGATTTAATGACGATTGCGACGATGGTGAGGAAATTTTAAATCGCACAACGAAATACTAAAATCAAATTTTCACCAAGCAGTAATAGCAAAGTTAAATGCAAGAAAAATAAAATGTGAAAAATGGAAAAAACACACCAGAAATTTTTATAGTGGTTAGGTCAACCTTGACATATGTCTACTCTCCGGAGTCCTCCATTCCGAGATTTGCACTACTCAAAAGCAACTCTTCTTCTACTCCCACAACAAGGCGGAGAAGCCTTTACAAAAACTCACTTTCACCTTCCCCGGTGTGGCGGAGTGTCGGACGTTATGTCACCCTCCCAGTGACGGTAGCGGACCTTCTCATTTTTCTCCCTCCTGGAGAAGCCAGAGAACCTTTCAGGACTTTGACCTTGAAGGCTCTCCCCCTAGAGAGCTACCACAAGACTCACCCGAGCATAGGAGGAGCAAGTGTGCAGCAAGCTCGGAGCAACCACGTAATTCTCTCACACTACTTCTCCCTCACGCAGAAACTCACCTTCTCCTTCCTCTCACAAGCCCTAAATCTTTTCAAGAAGCTTCCTATCAAGAGTTCCCTTAATCACGTTCCTCTCTCTCTCTCTCTCTTAAAAAACAAAGGCATTGATTATATAACAGGCTTCAAGAAACCCTAAAAATTCAATTTAACTATTTCTGTTCGTACAGTATGATCAATTTAAAATAGCTTTTGTCCAGGTACGAAGGAGTACAAACATGTAACAATTAATCAATACATCGTCCAGTACGATAGGAATATCGCCCAGTACGATACACTATATTTCTTCTATTAGTACAGGACGAATGCTGAAACGAACGAAATTCTTCTCTGTTCATCATGCGGTATGATCTAATTAATACAATACGATTAATTAAAATTATTCAAGTTGTCTTGTACGATGTATAAGCCGTACATTACGATTTGTTCAAAAATCAAAGTTTTGTCTAGTACAATCTTTGATACGATCAAAAATAGTCTCGGTTCATCATACGGTATGATTAAGGTTGTACAGTACGATTAGAACAAAATCAAAGGTTCGTTGGTACGACCAAAATTCGTCTCGGTTTATCATACGGTACGACCACGGTCATACAGTATAATCACCAATCATTAAATAAGTCTTGATTTAATTGACTAATCATGAGGGTTAATTTTAGCAAGTCTTCAAATATTCATATAGTATGATTTTATTGTACAGTACGATGTGTTAAAAATACAGATCTTAAAAACTTGCTTAAATTAATCTAGCGGTTAGGATTTCGGGTTGAAAACAAATCGTGCAGTATGATTAGTTCATATAAGCTAGTCGTTAAGCCACAGTATATCGTATAATATGAATTAAAGTCATACAGTACGATCTACATAAAAAATATTTTTTTTAATTAAAAAAACTCTCCCTCTATATATGTGCATGATCACTCAATTTGCATACACTTTTTTATAGTCAGACTCAAGAAACAAAGAAATAAAGAAAAAATTACAGACTCCTTCACATCCTATTCTACCCAATCTCGAGTCTTCCGTTATCTTGAGCAGTGTGTAATCTCCTTGAAATATTAGTACTCACAGACAAAAGTAATATTCAAAATATTTAATGAAGAATGAAATAATTCAATCAACATTATTTGTCATCATCAAAATCACAGACTAAGGATCATGAATTGCAACAAAATTGCTTAGCAAATTTCTAGCCATGGGTGGCTAGGCGCGGACAGAGGTCAATTTTTGAGTTTTGACTAAACGACGTAAACAAGTTGCTTATATCCTTGATTTTCTTTCTCCCGCTTTACTTTTTTGCTTGGTTGCTTGCTCTAATCATAAAAAAACTAATTAAAGTTTTGCACATAAGTTTTCTATTAAAATAAAAAACTAAATTTTAAATTTATAAAATTTTTAAAACCACCCAATTCAACCCCCTCTTAGATGCCATAGCCTATTAACACTCACAACCAGTCATCACATCATCAAAACCAGTCATGAAAAAAACAATAATCATAGACCCCTGTCAAACTTGGTAAACTAAGCTTAAGTTTATTATGGAAAGTTAAATGTACATGCTACTATCTTAAGGTCTCTCTCATCACATCTTATGAAGCAATGGGTGGATGACTTAATCTTTTTTTTTTATGTCAACTTAGATCCAGTGTGCCTTGGCATGACCAATCCTCTTCATGTAGATAAAATGAAGCTAACACTCTTTAAAAATTGGCATCTGGTCAAAATATCAATCCATATAAATGAGCAAATCAAAGAAAATTTTTAAGTAGGCCATCAAAAGTAGGTAGATCGACCTTGACCCTATGAACAGTATCATTATCAGGATTTTGGTACATTTGTCATAGGGAGATGTAAGGCCGATCCAGATCATACAATAACAACCTTGAGATCGTGAGGGTAATGCTCAGGAGGTGTTCGTTGATTTTAGCGAACATCTTATATAAGATGTAACCTCATCTAATGAGATAAACGACAAGGTGTGGCATTTGATGATAATCATCATGAAAGTTGACAAGTTATGGATAGGGATGATGATGGTGAGGTCTAATAAGAGAATTTTTAAAGTTAACAAGATAATATGAATGGGTTTTTATAGAAGTAGTTGTGGCTTACCAAGATTTAAAGGATCATCATGCCTATGTTCTAAAGGTTTGACCTCAATAATCAAGTCCACCGGGTTTTACTACTTGCTATCAGGTTTTTGAGTATTTTGGGTTCTATATTACATTTACTATGGGGGTCAACAAAAATGATAGTTTAATGAATAGCAAAGTTAATAGAGTTAGTTAATAGATTATTGTGTCTTTTTTCATTTATTGGAGTTATTTTAAACTTTCTCTATAAATGAATTTTTGCAATTTTGCATTGGATGTTTTGGGGATGATTGGGCTATATATTTAAAGTACCCTCATTTTGTTCAGTAAGCAATTTGGATTAATTTATTTCGGATTTTAACCTAACTCGGGGAGGATTCCTTATTTTGTGCAATGGTGAAGAGAGGAAGATGTTCGTAGAGCTCGGGACTCCACCCCAATCTACATTGGAACTCAAGCACCATTTCGGACCATTGCTCAAGAACAGGTGTAGTCATCCGGGACGTAGCCTGGACGACGTCTAGCAGCAAAGGGGGCCGTTCCACAAGAAACAAGGAGACGTGACTCTATCCTTCGGAGTATTTGAAGGTAATTTCCAACAACAAGGTAATTGTAATGTTTTCTCCATTGCCCCATGTCAAGTGGTTTTATAGAGCTCCTGAAGGTATTTATTCTTGTAAAATTTTATTAACTTAGCCTTATTATAATCACCATCTATTTATTCAAAAAAATGGATCGTCAAGTTGATTTTCATAGACACAATTTTATAACAAAATAATGATATAAGTACAAGGAAAATTAGTATAACTTGCTGGAATAAGAAGAAAAATGTAAGCATGATAAAAACAAGAGTGCCGATATATTTTTCAACTATCGCCCCGTCCAGCAAATAAGATTTGGTATCTCATATTCACCTAAATGTAATCACTCAAAATGCTAGTCAAGTTCATTGATATGTTGATTGACATTGACTAGTTATAGGGCTTAGAGTTAACCTATAGAGTTAGCGTGTAAGATAATTTATTTACTCACACTTTCGACAAGTAAAAAATGACCATCTCCAACAACAAACATCCTAGGCACCACTATAAACCATAATGCTAAAACTTAACTAGACCCGAAAAATTGACAAGCTTTGTATTAATCCAAAAGACACCCAAAACATCATTAATTAAAAATTTGGAGAGTGGAATTGCGCGCATTACAACAAGAAAATGTGAATGTCCCATCTTACTTTTTAATGAACACTTAAGATTTACCCAGCCATGTCCAAGCTTGAAATGTTAGAGCACAAGATTAATACTATGCTAGCGGCAAGATCGGCTAAAAGTTCCTACAAAATCATTAAACTTTAATTTAATTGTACTTAGAAAATAAGCTCAGTTAAAATAGAATGTCTTAATACTATACAAGAAAAAACATAATTATTTCTTTAATTATTTGATTTAAATATAATAAGTTGCATTTTAAAAATATTTAGCAAGTACATATTTATTTTGAAGTAATGGTATAACACATATAGCATCAGCATTATAAGTGATACTTGGTAATTTTTCAATTCAATGGTTTGGAAAGAAAGTGTCTCTCTCTCTCTCTGAGAATCTAGCTAAAGGAAGTCATGACAACTAACTAATAGCTTCTCTTCTCCTACTCTGACCACCGCAGTTGTCCATTAGCTACCTATCATGAGGCTTATATCATCCAGCAGGAAACACCCTCTCCTCTCATCATCTGACTTGACAAAGATCAAAGGTAATATTTTTGCAATAGGTCATATATAGAAAAGATAGATCCAAAACGACTATGGCCCATACTAATCCGGAACAGGCCTGACTTAGTATCATATTCAAATTAACTGCAATCCAACCCAAATCTGGCAAGCTTGTTAAAAAAGGTGGCATCATTTTTTAATCTAATGAAGACAACCATCAAATAAACATTCAGTAAGGACAATTTGTCACAGATTAAAATTAGCACGGTAATTTTAAATAAAAATAGGAAAGATGAAAGGAACAAATTAGCAAGAAATTTTCATAATAACACATGCAGAACGAAAAAAATGTAGCATCCTATAGACAGTATGATTTAACAGCAAGAAATGCTAAAAGATTGTGTAAGACAATGGTATTCATCAAGTTAAAGGTAATACATTATCATAAGAATATAATAGAAGTATTCATGAATGGAATTTTAACCTCTGGAGAGATAGCTCGATGAACAAGATGAGCATTATTATGGAGAAAATCTAAAGATTCTGCAATCTGTAGCAGCCCGTGTTTGACTTCCAATAACCCCATTTCCTGCCAAGCATATTGAAACAATAGAAAGGTTGCTACAATGCTTTCATATTCTTAATAAATCAGATAAATTAAGAAATTGCTAGAAACCTACAATTCATTGAAATGCCAGAATATTTATTCTATAAGACAAGTGCATGGGAATATAAAACTTTTATCAAGGCCATTCATAATAACTCAACCAGGGAAGGATACCAATGTTTTCTTCTCAAAAGGAAAAAATTTCTTTTATCGTTGAACTAATTTTTCAATTGTATTCTAGAAGCCATATGTTTACTTCTGTAGTCATAATTTTTTTATTAGTTGACATGATTTTAGTTTTATGAGCTTTAGTAACATGAAACTTAAAGATACATTATTTGTTATAAAAAACAAATTGCAATCTTATGCCACCATTGGATAAAGGTGAAACATTCTTTGATATATTTTTTGTTTTTATTTTCTTTTTAACTCTTTAGTCTGACACTGGACAAACAAGGGAAACAATTGCATCCAACTAGTTGTTTGATTCAATTTGTATAGTTCTCTTAGTTATGTTGGAGTTCAAGGACATTTTTTAACTTTTAAATTGAACAATGGCATTTATAGCAGTATTAAACGATCATATATTTCCCATTTAACTCTATAGTTTGACACTTGACGTACAGTACAAGTGAAGCAACTAAACAATTACATCCAACTAATTGTTTAATTTATATTGTATAGCTCTATTTGTTATTCTGGAGTTCATGAACGTATTTTAATGTTTAAATTGGACTATGGGGTCGGTATAAGTATTCAATCAATGCCTATATCTGCAATTAATATTATTTTATGTGATTTAATTTTTCCTACACTTTCTTAATAAAATAAATAATTAGAATATAAATTCATTAAGTTCATGCTTTGCTTTACCAGGGATCAAATTACTTTGTTTTCTGCTTATGCTTTTCTAAACATTCTGCATCAGATGTTTATTTTAAATTGCCAGACACGGTCCTTAATACACCAAAAAAAAAAAATTAGAGACTATGAGTTGCTTTTTGAAATGATAATGTTAATATAGCAAACTATTTTGCAGCTCCATCAATAGAAAATATATTGCAAAATAATATACAGCATAACCTATCAAGTATCTAGTAAAGACAGCACAATCCTAAAATGTACTACTAGCCCGTCTAGAGAGAGAGACCCATCTAGAGAGAGAAAGAGTCTCGTCTGATTCAAATTTTCTCAGTTTTTTCCCTTTTTTGCGATGGCAGCTGATGGCCGCCGGCCATTTTCTGGAGCGCCGCCAGTGATCCTCCAAAGAGGAGGTTCTTTTCTTCAAAGCAAATGGAAAGCTGGTAGAACGACTTTTTTTGAAGACAATGTGTCTGTAATGTCGAAGGGTTCTCCTTTGGTAATCAGAGAAAATACTGGTGATATTATTAAGGCATTACCTCATGTGGAGGGGAAAGTTAAAAGTATAGCAATAGATTTGGATGTCAAAACACCTCGGTGGTCCAAATCTCCAATTATATCTAAGAAGATGAATGACCTCGAAGCGTCTTCGTCGAATATGAAGATTTTTTGTGAACAGGTTTGGAGGCTTCAATGTTGTTCCTGAAGTATGTACAAATGTTAAAGGCAATAGTGGTTAGGTTATTGCAGATGATGATGTTGTTCCTGTTCCAAATGTGATTTCAGAGGTTGCGATGGAGAAAATTGATTTAGTGAAGAATTTCAATGAATCAGTTATGAATAAGGAGGACGGGAAAGGATATGTGAATTCATGGTCCAAGAAGCCGTATATAAAGGTTAATTTTAATGAAGATGAGTCTATTTTGACAAATGATGGAGTTGTTGTGAAGTTGCATGCTCCTAGTGAACTCTCCAATTCGAACAAGTTGCAATTTGCATTGGTAGCTAAAGTATTTGACAAAGAAATCCCTTCTAACATGGTGGCATGAGAATTAAGGCGACAATGGGCACATTTTGGCCAGTTTCATTTTACCTCACTTGGGTTAGGATGGTTCTTATGTTCCTTCAAAGCTTCTGAAGGTGTGGAGAAGGAGCTTACGGGAGGGTCATGGTATGCAAATGGTCATATAATAGGATTGGATAAATGGTCCTTAAATTTCTCTCCATTATATATGAAAGGACTTACTTCTCATATTTGGATTAGAATGCCTCAATTGCCTCTTCAATGTTGGGATGAGGTAAATGTAGTATGAATTGCTTCTATGGTGGGTACTCTGTTATTGTTAGATGGGAATATGTTCCAATGGGGGAGGAGAGAATTTGCTAGAGCTTGTGTTCATGTGAAGTTGGATCAACAACTTCTAGTGGGAGTTTGGGTGGAAGGAATGTCAGGGAGGCCTTTCAAAAGATAGAATATGAGAAAATCTCCTCTATTTGTTTTGAATGTAGAATGATTGGGCATAATAGAAATCATTGATGCAAAGGAAGGATTGATGCCAATAAATCTGGAAATGAAGCTATCAAACCAACGCTATAGAAAATTGAGGCTCATAAATTTGATATTGTTAAAGAATCCACACATAGACCTTGGGTACATGTGAATTACAAGAGAAGTAAGAGGTTTGGTCCACCCAAACTCAAAGTTAAGCCCAGATAGGTGTTATTCAAAAAGAAGGAATCTTCTACTTCAGCAAATGTTGTGCCTAATAAAGGTATCCATGTTGAAGCTGAAGAGGTGCTGATCTCCACTAAGCTGGTCATCGACAAAGAAAAGGTTGATAATGTGATTCCTGAAGATGGTGAACTTGCTTTGGAGGAGCGGGTTGGAGATGATGCTGCTGCTAACGATCTGTTCAATGATCGAAAGGTGCTGACTGAAGATGAATTCGAAGGTAGTGTCCAAGGGACTTCTCATGGTATGAATTCTCTCATTAGTTCTTCTGAAATTCTTGTGGATGTGAATAGATTTGGAGTGTTAGAAGGTTTCCATAATGATGCTTTGGAATGTGAAGATACATCTAGATCCCATTCAGGTGATGGGAATAAGAATGATGTTTCCTTGGAGAATGTTAACGCTATTTTGGGTAAGGGTAAGAAAGAGAGGTGTAGTAATATAATTGGTGTGAATGTTACTATGAGGAAAGAGGATGGTTGGAGCTTGGAGATGGCTAAATTTAAGCTTGCTAAGGAACTTAAATCGCTTGGGCCAGTAAAAATCAACGTTTTAAAAGGCGAAATCGGGAATCGAGGCGTTTTGGCTAAGCAAGGCGAGGCGTAAGCCTCGAGGCGGATCGAGGCGTTAGAGCATTAGCCTCAAAAATGAAAAAAATAAAATAATTTAAAATTATGAATAATGACAAAAAATAACAAAATATTATATCAATTATGAATTTGATGATTTGTTTTAAGATAATATTAATATATTACTGGAAAAGAAGATTTAAAATAAACTCACTTAAAAATAAAACATTCATATGCAGGCTCATCATCACTTTGATTTTCTTCAGAAGAATCTTCATAATTAATGTCAAAGTCATCCTCAAACTCTTCTTCATCTATAATATTTTTTTCCTTTATCTCCTATATCAATTAATATTTCATTAGCTCTAGAATAAAACAATAATAGCATAAAAATTAATTCATTATATTTACGAATACCTTTGAATTTTTTTGAAGCTCCAATCTCATTTTGTTTCTTTCTTTTATATACATGAGTAGTTGCTTCACTGTCTTCATTGACATGAGTTTCTCCTTCTGCTTCAACTTCAGAAACATCAACAACTGTCCCAACCTCTCAAGCATTAAATAAATGCAATGTATAGAACAAGGAGTCCAGTAAAGGTGAGGCCTCTTCTCCATTAACATTCTCCCTGCAGCTTTATATGCACTTGCATTATCAGTAACAACTTGTACTACTAAAGCATCACCCACTTCCTCAAAAACTTCATCCAATATTTCAAACAATAATTGTGCATCCTTTACAAAACTTGAAGCATCCACTGATTTTAGAAAAACTGTTCCATATGGATTGTTGACCAAGAAATTAATAATACTTCTATGCTGAATATCTGACCAATCATCTGACATTATTGTGACTCATGTCTCAATCCAAGTCTTCTTAACATCATCCACCATTTTTGAAGTTGTCTTGACCTCCTCATTCAGCATACAAGTCATCAGTTCATGCATGCTTGAAAGTTGTAGTCCTCTTCCATAGCTTCCAACAGATTGTAACATATTGATCCATGATAGACTCCTAATAACATTAAATGGAATCTTATTTTCATAGATGAATCTAGCGATATCCAAACAAACTCTGTTCCTGAGTTCTTTTGTAGCGGTAGGAGGCTGAAGATCCTGAGTGTTTATGTTATCCTCGTCATCAATATTTATCATAAATCTATCCATAGGACCCCGAGTGCCTCGGTTAGAAGAAACTAGATGGCTTCCACTACTGGAACCTTCATGTTGTGATCCATAGTAAGAAGAGTTTCCTATTATCTCTTTCATATTTCTTTGTGTGACCTCCTTTGTGGTGGCAAACTTCTTTAAATAATCTGTACATTCCTTTTTCACCTCATCAGGTACTTTTGCACATAGTCCCACATTGACATGAATGCAGGCTAGATGATCCTTCAACCTCTTGACGCCACCAGTTTTGCGTTTTTCACAAAAATTACATTTCATATAAACATATCCCTTCTTTGCACCTTCGCCTGACACTTCAACTTGAGTTCCATATTTCCATGCAGAATCTTTTCTTCTTGTGCCACAAGTAATGCTAACAATAGGACAGATTTTTAATAATTATTTGTACTACCAATAATAAAATAATATGAATACAAAAATATACCAGTCTGTCGGGGGTCCAAGGGGGCGCTGCCCCCTCGCGGGGTTCGACCTGAGTAATTTTGAAATTTTGCTTGTTGTATATGCTCAATACCGAGCGGTACCGAGCATGTACCGCTCGGTACCGAGCATATACTTGCTCAGTACCGAGCGGTACTGGCTCGGTATCGAGCATGTACTGAGCGGTACCGATGATGTACCTGCTCGGTACT